GGGAAACAAACCCTAAATCAATCCAATACTTTCGACGAATGCAGAAGAAACGAAAAAAAAAAAAAAATCGGATCGATTCTTGAACACAACACACAGTCTCATCACATCGGGATGTCACTTAAACGAACACGCACGCGTACACGTGTAGCGCGGAACAAAAGCGGTCTGACCGGTGGCGTTCTTCGAGCGAGAAGCGCATTCTTACACCGGAGGACCAGGTTGTTTTGGAGGTCCTTTTGTTGAGTAAGAAAAAAAATAAAATGCCAAGAGCCGAGCAAAAACTTTGGTGGACTATTTTGTTGGGTATTATAAGTACGAGCCTGTTTCTTGCATCTTACGCGCATTATCAACCCCACGAGCGTGACTCGATAAACGGCTAATGTATCTTATCGCGCCCGAGTTGCTGTACTGTATAATTTGCTGCTGCTCGCTCATTTTCTTTGACCGCATCACTTCGTTTTTGCTGCTGCTGCTGCTGTAATTTTATTTTTTTTTCATGACACTGTGTGCTTTGTTTGTGTTTGACAACACTTATTATTATTATTTTTTTCTTGTGTAACTTCGTAAGGTGAGGTTAAATAAAAGGCCTTGGGCACTGTGTATGAAACAATACCGAGAATTTGTGTGCTTTTCACGTGAACTTGCTTTAAAAATTTTACGTCTGGTCTAAAAAAAAACTGGTTCTTCATTTTTTTCTGGTAGCTGATTGTCCGTACGCTTTGTGCGTCGTTGTTAGAGTCTAATTTATTTGATGAGAGATTTACGAGATCCTCGATTCGGACACACCATTTTTATTCTAAATTTATCGAGTGACTCGAAACTTCAGTATAGTTCAGTTTTATTAAAAAACAACGGTTAAAAAATTTTATGAGGTTTGTGTCTTTGTACAATTGTGTATTTATTTATTTTGTAAACAATATATATAACTTATTTATGAAATATTGCGTTGTCTCGTAATGTATGTTATTTCGGTAGAAATCGTTAAAAAAATACTTTTAACTCCCGAAAATAACCAACATACAACATTTTAGTTTACGAGATACATTTAATTTTGGCTGTAGTGCTTTTCCTCGTATATTTTCTAACTAAAATTTCCAGCTAAAATAAATTTATGACTCACGACGCGTTCTTAGTGATCTTTGTAGTTACTACGGCTTCCTTATTCTTTGCTATTATGTATTATTAGTGGTCAACTTGAGAACTTTTTTTTATAAAAGTTATTGCTTTCAATAAAACGTACTGTATGGAAATGTAATCATCGACTTTTTATTAATTTTTCTTTTTAACTAATTATTTCCCGGAAAAGCTCATAAATCATCAACATTTAAAATTAAATTCGTCTTTACTTGGAGTAATACGAAATATTATTTTTAGATTTTTAGATATAGCATGTATTCGTAGATATACTTTTGACATTGATTTTATACGCAATTTCGACCTACTAACTTGATTACAGTAAGTAGCGATTACATTTCTTTTATATCACAGCTCGTACTGCAGCCCATTTGTCGCTCAAATATGTATGTAATAGACCTAAATATTTTAAATACATTATTATGATAAATTTCGTTCATTTCCCAGAAAAAGAGCACAAAAAAGATGACATCCCCTATTACACTTGCTAGCAGTTTTGATTCATATTAATTGATGTTTGTGAAAAAAATCGTTTTCAAACCGATCTTCCGAGCAAAACCTCGAAAAGCAAAGTAACCCTTCGAAATTACCGAACAATAATCGTACAACACGCTCGTTCACGAGCACCAAGCAAATTCCATCGACTGCCCAGAAATCGGCCAATTGCACTCGATCATACTTTCTTCTCGGAACACCTTCGATCGATCATTAAAAAAAAAAAGGGGGAGGAAAAAAATCGTGTAGCCAGTGTAGTCGCGCAGAAATAATATACAAAAAGGAATCCAGCATCAACGGAGCACGCACGCCCGCACTACGTATCAACATACATCAATATGTTAAAAGCGCGCACGTGCACGACGCGACGATCCGGCGCGATCGGCGCACTAGCCGGCACTGAAGAATCTTCTCCTCCAATTTGGAAAGGTCGACCGGCATCGAGCTAAAGCGCCGCCAAGGAGGAGCTTAGCGAGTCGGCCTCCGTGTTCGCGGCACACGTGTATACACGCATGAATATATAGCCAAGGTATATACGCGACGGAAGATTCTTTGCACATGTGTGCGGTGCTTTTATATACGAACACGCGATATGTGTTGGCTAGAAGATCTTCTTGTGGAGCGAAGACGAAAGAGAGAGAGAGAGAGAGGGCGAATAAGGGTTCCCCGTAGGAATTCTGGCGAGGTAGGTATAAAACCTTTGCCTCACCTAAATTTAGAAATTCCCGTATAAGCCGCGCTATGGAGAGAAGAAATAGAGGCTGAGAGACGAGTCTCTCGGTCTGTCTTGCGTACGGTAGCGCGTCTTACAGCGTTATGGGAGATTTTGGTAAAGATTCTGGGTGTCGGGTTATTGTGTTTACGTGAGAGGACATTATTTGGATTTTTTGAAAATTTTAGTCTTTTGTTGGCTCAATTTTTTGTTTTTTTAACAAGATTATCGGAAAAAAAAACTATTTCGTCATCATCAAGATACAACTGATGAATTAAAATTTGTTAAGAAAGAAAAGGCATTTGTAGTTAAAAAAACATCTTGGTATTGTTGGTCATTACATGGTATTCTGTAAACTCGAATCTTATCATGAAGAGGAAAAATTTTCCATTTTCCATGAAAAAAATTTGATTGACAAGAACCGTGTATCAATTGAAATTTTTTCACCATTAGACCTTATCAATATTCATCCAACGACGAAATGGTGAGGATTCTGGCTCACAATTAATTAGCTCTTAATTTTATGAAAATACTTATAAAAAATTCATTAGATGATAGAGTAATCAACATTAATGTGAGTGAAAAAACGCTTCAATTATCGAAGGGATGAATAAAAATGATTGCAGTAGGAAAAACTAATTAGTAAAGATTTACGTTGAATGCTGGTAGCATTACTAGTATTACGATGTAATTTATTTATAATTTTGTTGTATTCATGTTCAGTTAACTAGTTTTATGATTTCATTTTGATCTTCATTGAAGACATTGTCAAGTTTCTTGTATTATTTATGTTAAGAATAATTATTTAAAAAATTATTGTAAAATACAGCTATTTAATATCCGGAAATAATCTGAATCTTTCTGAACAAAGCTACTGCCGTAATATTTTGAAATGTACAGAAATGAGTAGATGTTTCTTAATTAGTAGGAAAAAATGATATTTTAAAATTTTTACAC